AGAGATTAATTAAGTAATTAATCCTAATCCAATTGGTAATTTAATTCCTTAAATTCCTGAAAATTCAATAGATGGGGACTAGTAATTGACTAGTCAACCCAAAGTCAAGAGTTGTACCTAAAGCTTTGTGAGTAGTTCCCTTGTTCCCTTACACCTCTTCATTTTAGTAAGGGTAATAAAGACATTTCACCTTGTGCTAGTAATGCAAGCTAACCTAGAGGACACTCCTCATTCTTTCCCCTTACACTTTCTAAACTTGAGCTCCTCCTTCTCTCTAAAAGTTAGATAGCTTTTCTTCCAAGCTAAGTTGGGACTTTACCGAATCCTCAAAGTTTGTCTTCAAGATTCCACATTTCCTACCTTTGAGCATCTAGGAGGGTAAGATCTATGTTTATCTTGTGTTTTTAGTGTTTTCTAAGGTGTCTTTCCTTAAAGATAGAATCTTTATGATCTTTTGGTATGTTCTTGAAGTGGGTGTGGAAGGTGAACCCTACTAGGAGCTTGGTGAAGTGTTTAGTGAAGGTTTTTGTCTACAAGAGGTAACCCATGCTCTACAAAATCTATTTTGCTTACCTATATGATGATTTCTTGGATTCTACATGTGATTTTGCTATGAAATGTGAGTGTTGATGCATTGTCTTATGAAAATGCATATCTAGAGCTTGTGTTTAGGGTTCATGTATGCCATTGCTTGGCTATTCCTTTGATTCAAGTCATTTTGTTGTAGTTGGTGAGATTTGGCATGTTTTGGACTTGGATTTGAGCTTGGTGTTGAAAATCTCCGAAGGGATTATTTGTTGCGCAGGCATGTACCCGCGGGCGGAACGGCGGGTAGAGCTCCACCCGCCGCCCCACCCGCGGGGTACACACTCGTGGGACAAAGGGTTCCCGCGAGTGGAACCACGGGTGGTGGTCCACCCATGGCCCAACCCGCGAGGAACGTTATGTGGTTGTTGGGGGATTTGTTCCTCATGATTCTTTTGACTCGGTATTTGGTCTTTTGACTTCCCGATGTTTTTTTGTGGAACTATTTGAGCGTCTTCTTGACGTTTCGTATGTCTAGAACTATATGGTAGGAATCCATGTAGGTTTTGGTGTCTTGAATCGTGCTAAGTGTTCAACATTGTGATTCGTTGAACCGTGATGAGTCTTGTGAGTTCTTCGGAACTATGTTTGGTTTACCCGTTTGATAAGCATGCTAGTTCGGTGTTTAAATGCTAGCGTGTGTGTTGTTTGTCCTTTCCTATTATTGATGATGACTTGTGTTAATCATCGTTGTTGTTAGACTGTGATCCATTCTTTGATTGAGTATGGTTTCATATCTTCGTTGTGATCCGTTGATTGATTCCTGAGATGGTGTTGTGTGTGTGGCTGTACCTGGATTGCACAATTAATGGTATGGGATATTAGTCACCAAGGTACGGCAGTGGTCCTCGTGGTGGCCATGACGTGATCATGGAGTTTGTGACCTGTGTGTCGGGTTCACGTATTTCTTGGGAGGCATGTGCTGCCAAGGCATGTGCTGCCATGTGTGTGATCGGTACCCTCATGTACTATGAAATTGGTGGATTTGTTGGCGGTCGTTGGCTGATGGGGACGACGGTCCTCGGAGGGAAAAGGTTGGACTTGGTGTACAGGGGTCCTGGAGGTAATGGTTGGAACTAGACATAAGGTTGGGGGTAGCCATAAGGTTGGAACCGGGCATAAGGAAGGCATCTTAATTCGTGATGGGTGATGTCACGAAGGCTTGTGTAGCCATTGTGTGTGATTCTCTATTTGTGACATATGTTGTCACAAAGGTATGTGTTGCCAATGGTTGTGTCCTTATTCTCTTGTGTTATGCATGTCGGGTGTTAATCTACTGTGTGATAGTAGATTATGCCTTGAGCCATCCTTGTGAGTTGTTATTGCTTCTTGATGTCTTGGGATGTGTTCCCTTATCTTGTTGTGAGTGCATAGAGTCTTGTGTTGATCTCTATCTTGGCTTTTGAAATTGATATATACTATATCCCGTTTCGCAAATGATTTTGTATATATATATATATATATATATACATATATATATATATATATACATATATATATATATATATATATATATATATATATATATATATATATATATATAAACTATCTACATATGATATTTCACATGTATTCGTGGGTTACCAGCATCATTCGCTGACCGGGCGTCGTCCCATATCTTATGTGTTTCTTTCAGGTGCTGAGTAGACGAGAGGGCGGTCTAGAGACTGTTAGATTAGACCCCGTGAACTTTGTTATGTTTGGCCTGTGCGCCAATGTTAGACTTTAGTCCTTTTGTCCTTGACATTATTTGGGATAATGGATTTTGTGCAGATGTTTACGCCTGTGCGTTCACTGTTGAGTGAGTGTGGCATAGAACTCTACGTTTTTCATATATTCCATATCTAGTCTTCCGCTGTGTATGCTTTTATTGTTAGAATTATCTGCATGATTAAGTTTAAATTGGTATGGAAAATCGGGGGTGTTACAGAACCTTAGACTAAGTAGTTAGGTCCGACCCCGTCACGTCTAAACTTCGGGGACGAAGCTTTGTGTTAGGGGGGAGGGTGTAATACCCCGTGTTACGACCTTCAAACCCGAATTAATTATTAAATTAATTCCGTTAATTAAAGTAATTAAGAGAGATTTAATCCAATTATAATTATCCTAATTAACCCGGACGGTCCACAATAGATCGTGGACCTTTACCTGAACCAGGAACCTTAAGCCATAAGGAATAAGGAAACGAGCCATTACTATTTAGACTCTGAATAGGTTTCCCTTAAAAGTATAAATAGGGGATTATAAAGCAAATAAAAACCTTCCTTCTCCTCTCCCTCACTCAAAATACTATCAGGTGATCCAGCCAGGGAAATCCCCCACCATCAAGCCTAGGAAGATCTATTAGAAGAAGAATCTTAGAGAAGAACCTTAGCAGCCAAGGATATTGATTAAGGCTAAGAGGTAACCCATGTCTCGACAAAACCTATTTTCCTTGTTATATCTTATTCATTGGCTCCTTTGATAATCATATGTGTAATTCTGTGATTGAATTTTGATAGAGCCTAGCTTAGGGTTTATATTGTGCTTATTTGATAATCTTGATGTTGATATCGTGATTGATTATATGCATGATCTTGTATTTTAATTATGTCTAGAGCCATGGGGTTTAGATCGTGAATTTCGTATTATGATGTTCTTGGTATATTTGGGTGGGTTTATGCATGATCGGGTGTTGAGTCTAGCCTAGGACTTGTATTAGGACTTTGCATATAGATTTCTTGTTTTTATTGAGGTTCCGGATGCTCCTGAACCGTTATATGATTAATGATTGAGTCTTGGTATGTCTAGGAATCGTGTTAGAACGTATTTGGTGTGGTTCTTGATTTAATCATGTTAATAGATTACATGGTGTTGTCGTTATGTGTTTGAATGTGTCTGGACATAGTTTTGGGTTCCACGAGAGATCCTGGGACCGAAAGTTTCCTGTGAATCAGTGGGGGTAGGTGGGGGGCAGGGGTGCCCGCCACCTACCCGCTGCCGGGGAGCGCTGTTCCAGCGGGCAGCCGGCGGGCGGTGGTGTGCCCACCGGCCACCCGCTGGAATGGCGAGTGGCCGCCGGGGGGTGGCTGGCGGGTGGTCAACCATCCGCCACCTACCCGCTGGAAAGGGTGTGTGGTTCATGATGTGTTTCCCCATGTCCCATCGAGTCCCGTTGTACCCCGTTTGTCGTGTATGAGTCTCGTTTGATGTTTTGAGTATCGTTCTAGGAATTTATGTGTAATACGTGTCATTGTTGTTGTTGTTGTGTCTTGATTGTTATTGATTGATAATGTGTTGTTTGATTGAATGGTGATGAGTATCGTGGTCATTGCGCAATGGCCGGTGTGAATGATGATGATGAGATTGTGATTGGTGGGAATGAATTGTTGGAGGTTGGCACCACTTGTGCCCGGTCATTGTACTAAAGGTACAGGCCTAGCGGTTACTGTGCTATAGACACAAACCCACCTTAGACCTGTTTGCCGTTGAGCATGTGTCAGGTTATAAGTGCTACGGTGTCATGTCAGGGCTATATGAGCGGACCCCTTGATATTGGCACTAGAGGTCCGGATCATGTGAATGGCACTGCGGCACTATCTTGATATGTTGGTGGTTGAAAGGTGGTTTGATGGTGGGGGCATTTAGTTGCCCGGAGGAATAAGGGAGGCGATATAAGGGTGGCCTGAAGGTATAGGTTGGAACTGATATAAGGACGGAGGGGAGCTACAAGGTTGGAACTTGATATAAGGTTGGAAGATGGACTGTTTGCTTCGATGATTACATGCTAACTGATTGCCTTGAATGCTTTTGTTGTCTCTATTTGTCGTTTATGTGCTTGACTGTCTATTATGACTTGTATCATCACTAGTACAAAACAGTTCACAGGCGTCTGTTGTTGGAATCAATAGGCGTCTGTTCTGCGACAGACGCCTATGAACCAGACGCTGATTGTCATGACTTTAGGCGTCTGTTGTTTGTAGACTTCTAAAGTCGTTTATAGGCGTCTGTTCTTCACGAATATAAGTACTTCTTATTGGTAAGAACAGACGCCTATTCTCACAATGCTAAGCAATATTACGTATTTTAGGTGTCTGTTACTTTTGGTTCTTTAATATATATATATATATATATATATATATATATATATATATATATATATATATATATATAATATTATTTGGCCACCTTGCTACAGTACATTATTCATCCACAATATTATTTTTCAGCAACACATTCAATAATATCCATTAACGACCCAATTATATTATATTGCACAGTCCACAATATAATCAAAATTACAAAATCTACCATCATATCCAAACTAGCTACAACATAATATAATATAATATACTCCAAACTACAATAGATATAACCCAACCATTAATATCTAATTAAGTACATACTTCGTCAAAACATGCACAAAATATATGACATTATACACATTCTTTACAAAAATACTTAGCCCACATTTCACGAATCTCGTCTATTTCTTCAATAGAGTATGGGGTTGTGCGATCTTGAAATACCTACAAAAGAATTATTAATTGTTTTAGTAATAAATTATAATTAATTTATTAAAAAAAATACTTAGGTTATATCATTTTATATGTACCTTATCCAAAAAAGTATATGTGGAATACTTTGTGCATAAATCATGCATATATTTCATAACATAGTATCCACACTCAACACCTCCCGGTTGTTGAGGGCACTAAAAAAACAAATGAAAATAAAGTAAATAGTATTTCATTTGTAATCAAGCTAACAACTAAAAAAAAAGAAGAAGAAGCTAGTAAGCATTGTTTTATTTTACCTTAACATTCTTCCATTGAGCAAGTTTTTTTGCTCTTTGACCCCGTTGATTCATATATGACCGGAATGCCCTATAACATTAATGTATAAACACAATTCATAAATTATAACACCTAATATAAATAACTTTATATACAAATATACTTTTACTTACATATTCACCACAGGCTTGAGTTGTATATCCTGGACACATTCCAAAGGATCCAAAACATATACCATCCTCGAACAAACATTAATCACTAGAAGCAAGTAAGCAACCAATGCTCTCTACAATTTATAAATACATACATTGCACATTTAATTAGTAATAATTCAAATTCACTTATATAAACACAATAGAAAAAATAGATTACTTACGATTGATGGTATGGTGCTAAAATGAATGTCTTGTCCTGCAATGTGACCATAGTATTTCCAATATATGCAGTAACAACATCACAATTCAAATCAAGAGTTGCCTTTGCTATTTGTGTTGGACACAAAAATCCAACTGAGTCAATCCCAATTTGATTGCACAATCGGTGAAGATACCTGAAAAATCATTAAATAATACACTAATATCATTAAGTAATACATTACTAAATAATTAAGATTTTCAAATGAACGAATATACAAACTTACATTATAAAGACTTGTATAATGGATACATCAAGCCATTGCATTGTCAACAAGTCTTTAATATCATTCATCATCACGAATATGCTTCTCACATTGGTATGGTGAAAGATATTAGAATCTAACTCCAATTCAAAGTAGTCCGTATCATTAGGCATCGATCGAAGCAAATTGTGCAACCAATTGCACTCAAACCCCAAGCTCTTCAAGGTATCATCATCAACTAAATTGGGTCGTACTCTAGTACACGATTCCTCTCCATAGTCATAATTCTTTTCATTCATTGTTCTCTTTTCAACTTTTGCCTTCATCACTATCTCTTCCTATGAAGAGAAGAATTTGTAATTATGTTAATAGCTACAAATAATAGGAATCCAATAAATTATATATAATAAAAAAAAGTTCATACCTCTCTTATACCAACTAAATGTATAGGCCACTGTACAAAACTTCCAAAGGCATCTCCAATCTGTGTATAGTCTTGAGTGGGTACTGGTAGAAGAAATATTTCTCCCCCCTCAACAACCACTCAATCCACTGACACCTTAACATGATTTGGTAACAATAATTGGTTGCGCACTAACGTGTCAAATTGAGTTGGGTAGACCATCCCTCTTGCAACTACTACTATGTTATCCTCACCAGTACATAAGGCAAGACGACATGGAGTCAGGCTCAATCATTTAACACAAGATAACAAAATAAATAAAGCATGACAAATGGATACATTTTTAATATTATAAACATTTAATATTACCTCAATAAGGGCAAATGGGTATGGATCCACCGACTGGCAACCACTACGAATAACTGGTGGATCAACAACCTTAAACACACTTTGTGGCGTGCCCGCAGAAGCTCTAAGGTCAACATGTGAGGGTGGGGGCATTCGTTTCATTAAGTCCTGAACTTGACTGTTTGGGTTCTCAATCGTTGGTTGCATTGCTAACATTGTTTCTTGCCTTACTTTTTCAACCAAAGCTTGGACATCATCCACTGGAAGAAATCCTCTCGATCTTTCCCTACTCTTCTCTGGTTTTCCAAACACTTTCCTAATAGATACATATGAACCAACGCCTCTCGCGGAGCCTGAATGATCTTTCTTACCAAGGGCTTCTGACAATACATCATGATGTCTGTAAGGTTTAAATGACCCTTGGCTAACTTTCTCACACTTCTCAACCTATTTCAAAAAATAATTAAACTATATATTAGCATTAACATTATTATTAAATTATTTATGTAAACTATTCCTATTAGTAATAACTTACAATATTTTGAATGACCCCTATTGTTTTGTCATTAGGAATGTAGTACTTTTCATCATCTCCTTTTTTAGATCTTGCTCGAATCCAATCTAGACCACGGTCATTTGGCGCAAGCGTCGAGCTAATAGATGCACAAGAAGATTGAGATGAAATAGGATCTGTTACAAGGCACTGTGGCGTTTTACCTGCATATCCAGCCGGTCCTAAATAATGTGGATGTAGATTTTTTTGTTGCCTTGCCTTTGCTTTTTCACTTATTTCCTAAAAAAGAATAATTTAAGAGATATGGTAATTTTAATAATAAGACATTCAAACTATTATCATGAATGGAGGTTGTTCTGAGCTGCAAAAACATGCAGCAGTTTTGTTTGGTTTGGAAGGGGATTAAATGTTTGCTTGTTTGTCTTAAGTGGATGAGTGTAATGGTGCAAGTTGAATAGAGAAGTAGTAGGCAAGGAATCATGCCTGTAAAGCAGCAGCAATTAGAAGCCTTAAATGGTGGAGGGCTGCTGTTGTTTTCCCCTTATTTTGGTTCTGGAATACTGGGAATAAAATGCATATAGATGGCAGGTATGGCTCTGGGATTTGGTTTGAGTTCTGGGATTATAAGTAAGGAAAGAGGCTGGAATTCTGGCTAGAATATTGGGGAAGGGTCCATGTAGCTTGGTGGACCAATGGAGGTTTGGTAATTGAGATGTATGGCTCAATGGTTCTGGAATTTTTGGAAAATATTATTTGCTTGGGAGAGTTAGGAATTATTTAAAAAAAAAAAAATTAAATATACCTTGAACTTATCTGTCATGCGGCTTGCTTTAAAAGTATTCCATTGTGCATCGATCAAGTGATTATATAATTCACATGGAGATTCATATTTTGGGTGCTTCTTGTTAATATACTCACGGGTTAATCTCGCTTTGAAATCCTTCCACCGCTGCCCAGCAACCTTTAATATTGTTTCTTTCAATTGATCATCTTCAATGTTGAACACTTTCTGGTTGCACATAAACGTTTGAATCTTGGTATTACAGGTAGATACCATAACACCTTCACCGGAGGGCTTTTCTTATCCTCACACCCATTAACACCATTTTTTTTCTTATAACGTGATGCTCCACACTTTGGACATACATGCAAGTCACTATATTCCTTCCAATATAATAGACAATCATTTTGACATGCATGTATCTTCTCGATCTCCATACCCAACGGGCACAACATTTTCTTAGCCTCATAAGTTGAAATAGGAAGCTCATTATCATCAGGAAGCATCTTTTTAAAAAGTTCTAATAACTGTGTAAAGCTCTTATCACTCCATTCATTCATTGCTTTTAAGTTATATAATTTTAGCACAGCAGATAACTTTGTAAAGCTTTTACACCCAGGGAACAAAGGTTTTTCTGAATCAATAGAGAAACTTTCAAATACAGGAGGCATTTCACTATCATCTCCTTGAATATCACACATGAGTTCATCTATTCGATTATTCTCCCCATTCTCCTCATTTTCTACATTATTTTTATCACCATCATTCTCTTCATCATTTTTTTTTTCGGTGAACATCATTCTCTTCATCATTAGCTATTATATTTTCACCGGTGTTTGTACTAGGAAGTACACTCTCACCATGCCATATCCATTGGTTATAACCTTCTTTAAAGCCGCGGCATATTAAATGACTCCTAATTTCTTAGAACTAGGAAATTTCCTCAGATTCTTACAATCATAACAAGGGCAGACCAAAAATTCTTCTCCATGTTTATTTTTATTTTCTTCAGCATACTTTAGAAAATTTTCAACCACTAACATATATTCATATGTATTTCGTTTCCCATACATCCAACTACGATCGATATCTCTCATCTGCAAGCATGGTTGAAGTCTTTAAATTTTATTTACTTTAATTAAAATGATTTTTTTATTTATAATTTTTATTAAAAAGTCTCTATTTTCTTCCCTAAATATTACATATCACAAATTAATATCACATTGCATATCTATATTAATAAGCCATAAATATTGCATATCACATAATAATAATAATAATAATAATAATAATAATAATAATAATAATAATACTAATAGAGCTGAGCTACGTACTGCATATCACAAATAATAATAATAATAATAATAATAATAATAATAATAATAATAATAATAATAATAATAATAATAATAATAGCAACAACTACCTACTGCATATATCTTCTAATAATAATAATAATAATAATAATAATAATACGATGTACGTCTGAAGGAGATCAGACGATCGGAGATGCGCTGCTGGAGGGAGACTGGAGATGCGCTGCGCTGCTGGAGGGAGGTCACCACCGGAGATGCTGCACTGCTTGGACGCTGCTTCTTCAGGTCGCTGCTCCTCAACGTCGTCGCCCGTCACCTTTGCCGCGGCATCGTGTCCGTTTCTCCGATGGTCGTTGTCGCCGTTCCTCCGGAGGTCGCCGGCAAAGCTCAAGATAGAGATGAAGGCTAAGAAGATGTTTAAGGTTATGGAGATGGTGAAGGCTACTAGGAGATGTGTAACACCCCGTGTTACGACCCCTAAGATCAATTAAATCATTTAATCAATTACCCCAAAAGAAAGAATTAAATCACAATAATTAATTAGGAAGGCCCACCATAGTCTACGGGCCCTTATCCCTAAACCCAATCCTTAGTCCCAAAAGAAATAGAACTAGCAAGCCCATAATATTAGTTCCTAACTAGGACTCCTAAATATATAAATAGGGGACTTAAGAGGCACCTAGAAACCCCCCCACCACATTAACGCCCCACCACCCAAAGAGCTCCAAGAATCCCCTTAGAAGAAATCAAGAAAGCAAGAAAGCTTAAAGAAAAACCCTTCATAGCCAAGGAATTAATTAAGGCTAAGAGGTAACCCATGTCTCAACAAAACCTATTTTCGTAGCTATGATTTCCCCCGTAGGATTTCCCCATATAATTGTGTATTAATGACTTGTGATGATTATGATTGATGATTGATGTGATGATCCCATGGGGGATCTTGATAATCTTGATATTGGGAGATTCTTGATAATTATGATGTTCTTGATGATTATATGGAGTTCTTGATGATTATGTGTTGTTCTTTATAATTGTATGATGCCCTTGATACTTATGTGTTATTCTTACCAAATCTTGCAATTAGAAGGCGAATCGTATTCTTGTTGATATAAAAGTGATTAGAACCCTAGGTTGTATCGTATGATGTTATTCTTGGGTTATCGGGTGGGGTAATCGCATGTTTGGGTGTTGATTATGTTTAGAAAAGCATGATAGGTTATGTGCCGTTCGTTTCTCGTATTTGATCCGTTAATTGTCTACGTGTTGTCGTTGATTGCGTTGCAAAGTGTCTAAGCATGGTTTCGGGTTCCACAATGGTTCCCGGGGCGAATTTGTGTGATAAGAGTCAGTGGGGGGTAGGTGGGGGGGTAGGTGGGGGGGGGGTAGGGGACTCGCCACCTACCCACGGTCGGAATAGTGATCCCGGCAGTGGGCAGCCGGCGGGCGGGCAGCTACCCGCCGGCGACCCGCTGCCCGAAATAGTAAATCCGGCGGGCAGCCGGCGGGTGGCCCCCACCCACCGGCTACCCGCTGGAATTTTCCCCATCTTGGGTTCCTGGCTTCCCCGTTTGATGTTTCCCCGTCCCCCGTGGTGTCCCAACGGACTCCGTTAATCGTGCCTATGTCTAGTTTGATATTTTGGGCACCGTTCGTAGGTTTATGAGTCTATTATATTGCATGCTAGTTGAATTGGTATCCCGTTGACCTAGGTGGAAGCAGTATGAACCCCTTAGGACTATTCTTAGTATGTGATGGATCACGCATAGGTTTTGTTATACGTTTTCTCCCCATTCTCAATGTGTTAATGTGGGTTGCATGTACTTGCTATGTGTTATGTGTGCATGTAACCCCGAGTTGGTTAAGATCAATCGGGCTATACGGGCAGTCGGGTGGGCTGAGAACCATACCGGCTATTAACCAGGCAGGTAGAGACCGGTCAGGT